CGATTCACACACTTTACTTACGGTGCCTACTGTTCGCTTGACTCAATTATCTATCTCTGTATCTAACTATCTATGCAATTCTATGTTTTTTCGCTGGCTTTACTTGCCGGGCTTATATACTAAAAAAAGAGGGTGTCTGGAACAAACTGAGTTGCCAGGAAAATTTATGATCCTTCGAGAAACTCCAGCGCTCATGCTCCCAGCGTTGCGTGACTTCCGCTGTTGTAACAATATAATAACGCTTGACGATAAACAGAATTATAGTATAAACATTATCTTTAGGTAGGGTGATTCCATGTCCTGGTGTTTTGAATGTTGTTCTGGTGTCCTGATAGCTTCTTTCTAAGAATATCCAAATGCCTAACCTTTCCTTTCTGTTCGTTAACTGCAAGTTTTTATACTTTTTATATAATCGTGAATTAAGGCCAAGTAAAAACAAGGTTTAGCGTCTGGAGTTTTAGAAAAAAGGAAGAAGGAGGTCCTTTTTTAATAACCTCCTTTAAAAAAAGTTTGCACCTTTTTTTTAATGATTATTGCTTTTTCATCAAAAGGATACAGAATTCATGACAAATAAAGAAAATGGGCAAAATGAATCAACTGTGTTCATCTTATTTTTTTTTCAGAAGTCTTCTTTGTATGATCGAAAAACGATAATTCAGAAAGGAATAAATAACAAAAAAGTGGGGGAAGCATCTGGGAAAAAAAAAGAAAAAGAAGCGGAGGGGAGGAATCTTTATTGGACCTGTTTTGTAATAGCCGCCAAGATGACTGGGATGTCCTACTTCCTCTGCTGTTGATGGCCTATAGAACAGTAGAGCTGAAGACACTGGATACACTCCAGCAAGGCTGATGTTTGGTCGGGAACTTCGTTTGCCAGTGAACCTGATAACAGGACGCCCACCTTACGAAGAGTTGCCTGAAAATGTGCCAGAGTTCGTGAAAGTGTTATCTGAAAGGATGGATGATATTCATCCTCAAACGTCTGCTGATTCCATGAAGCTATGTTATGATAAGAGATCTACTGAAGTCACCTTTGTACCAGGAGACAAGGTGTGGTTGTATAATCCCAGGAAGACCAAAGGGAAGTCTCCTAAGTTGTCTTCTCCATGGGAAGGCCCATATGACATAGTGGATCGTCTCTCACACGTGACTTTCCAGATAAAATGTGGTCGGCGAGGAAAGCCAAAAGTGATGCATGTCAACAAGCTTTGGCGTTATCATGGTCCAGGACATTTCAGATGGAAAGAAGCG